CCAAAAAAAAAAAAAAGAAATAGTGACGTGGGTAAATGATGTCCAAGTGGATGTCAAATTTCTTATTCAGCAAATAAGAAAGGGGAGAATAGGAAAAACGAAAGGAAAAAAAAAAGTTGTTCTTGCGCAGAAAGTTCAACAAGAAATTTAGCAGAGATTTAATATCAAACAGAAAGACATAAGAACAAGAATTTTGTGTTGGTCCATTCTTGCTTCGAGAGACTCAAATTCAAGGAAGAATTTTAGATCAATACATATTGGAAGTTTGTGGCAAAAAATATGAGAAAGATTGAGTTTTTTTCCCTTTTTTTTTTTTGGGATGAACATCTATATAATGTAGTGATATGTATGCATGAAAAATGAGAAAAATGAATATGAAGAAAATTGGGATGGAATCATGAAATGCAAACTTGGTGTTGAATACGTTTTCCGGTGGGATGTGGCCGTTTTCCAGCGAAAATTGACTCAAAGCAAATTACGGAGCCTTTCCTCTAGCGCTAAACTATTGATATAAAAAATCGGACGATCAACCGTTGAAAATTAATCGCATTTCTCGTATCAAAATGGAGATAAAGATATAGATGGTGAAGTTCTCTTTTTTTTTTTCAGAAGAATTCTCCCTTTTTTGTTGTTTGGTGGGAGAAGAAGAATGGAGAAGAAGCCCTTTAGAGCATGTTTGTATACAATAAATCCCAAAACAAAAATTCAATATTTTAACTCAACTATTTTTTTTTTTTCAACTCAACGTTAACTAAATCCCACTATCATCAATATTATTAATATAATTAAACAATATCAATCAATCATTCATACACACCACATCAACCTTAATTCACTATTCATCCACTCGTAATATTTTAATTAACCATCACATCAAATTTTTAATTATTTTATTTCAAATATTATTTTAATATACCCACTAACAATTAACCGTACTACATTTTTCAAAATTAACCAAACCAAACAAAAAAATAACCCACTAACAGTTAACCCAATTCTGAACTTCCTCTCTTCATTGTCTTCCACCATTTGAATCTCCTCGATCTCACCCCCAGTTGCATCTTCGTCTCCTCTTTTCCCTTATTGAGCGTCACCCTTTCTTCCTTCGACCTTGAATCACCGGGCCGATTTGGTATCTCATCCCCCTCTTTCGCCTGCCTCTTCGCCAGTTGCCTGTTGTTACTCACTGTGGTCTGATAGTAGCTCCTCGAGGTGAGTTGATCTCCTGCGACCTCGTCAACGTTTTCGCCCACCGGATACTTGATCGTCATGTAATACGTCGACACTATCGCCTAGAAAGCATTCAAACTGGTCCTCCCCATGATAATGGTGTATGATGATTCTGCTCCTACCACCACAAACCTCACCATTCTCACCTTCCTCGTCGCTCCTTTCCCCAAGGCGATAGATAAGCTCACTTCTCCCATTGGCATGACCTCACCTCCGTTGAAGCCATACAAGGTCGTAGCCACTGGTTTCAGCTCC